ATGAGGTATTTGATTATACATAAGCAGCCTCAACAGGTATTTTTTTTTCTCTCATTATTGTTAAAGTATCTATCACTTAGCTTTTGCCAACTGGACTTTTTACAGGTGTAGTTTATTGACAGCTGTACCATAATTGCCTGTGCCACCCTGCCTTTAATGTGATTTTCCATCACTGTTAACCCCACTTTTTCCCCTCTCTCCCTTCCGACATAACCACAAATATACTTTGGTCTTTAAACATTTGCCTTTTCTTTATGTAAGTGAATTCATGAAAATACTTGTTCTTTTATCATTGGCTTATTTTGCTCAGTATAATGGCTTCAAGCTCCATCCATACTATAGCATGTTATCAAGACTTCTTTTCTCCTGCTGGCTAAGTAGTAGTCCATTCTAAGTATGTGCCACATTTTAGTTATCTGTTCATCTGTTGATGGACATTTAGGGTTTTTTCCTTGTACCTATTGTGAATAATGTTGCAGTGAACATTGGTATACAAATCTGTGTTTGAGGCACTGCTTTCAAGTCTTTTGATTATATACCTAGGAGTAGAATTGCTGGATCACACAGTAGTTCCATTTTTAGTTTTTTGTGGAACGGCCATAGTGTTTGCCACAGTAACTACCATTTTGCATTCCTACCAGCAATGAGTAAGGGTTGCAGTTTCTCATATCCTCACCAACATTTGTTATTTTCTGGGCTTTTTTTTTTTTTTTTTTTTCATCTCATCCATCCAGTTGTTGTTAGGTGCCATTGAGTTGACTCCAACTCATAGCGACCCTATGCAAAACACTGCCTGGTCCTGTGCCAGCCTCACAATCCTAGCTATACCTGAGCTCATCATTGCAGCCATGAGTGAAATGGTGTCTCATTGTGGTTTTTGATATACATCTGTCTTGTGAATAATGAAGCTGAGCATCTTTTCATGTGTTTGGTGGCCATTTAAATTTCTTCTTTCGTGAAATGTCTATTCAAGTCCTTTGCCTATTTTATAATTGGGTTATTTGTCTGTCTATCATTAAGTTTTGGAAGCTTTGTATGTATTTTGGTTACTAGATTCCTGGTTTTCTGAAGATATTCTCCCAGTCTTTTCACCTTTTTTTGTGAAGTCTTTTGAACAAAAGTTTTTAATTTTTATAAGTTCCCATTTATTTATTTATTTTGTCTTTTGCTGTGTTTGTGTGTTTGTTCTAATGTTGTTGTTGTTGTTTGCCTTTGAGTCGGCCCCAACTCATAGTGACCCCTCCTTGGGTTTCCGAGGCAGTATCACTATGGAAGTAGGATTGCCCAACCTTCCTTCCGAGGAGTGGCTGGTGGGTGTTCTAATGTTAGATAATCCATTTTTGAAAGGTAGGCTTGACAACATTGCCTCTGCTTGTTCCGTTAAAAATGTTATAGTTTCATTTTGCACAATTAGGTGCTTAATCCCTTTCTAATTTGTTTTTGTATATGGTGTGATGCATGAATTGTGTTTCATTTTTTGCATTTGGAAATCCAGTTTTCCCAACACCTTTTATTGAAGAGACTTTTCTTCTTTCCCCATTGAATTGATTGAGTGTCCTTGTCAAAAATCAGTAGACTATAGTTGTATGGGTTTATTTCTGGACTCTCAATTCTATTCCATTGTCTATGTGTCTATTGTTAAACTAGTCCCAGGGTGTTTTGATTACTGTAGCTGTATAGTATATTTCAAAATCAAGATGTGTGAGCTTTCCTACTTTTTCTTCTTTTTTGACATTGTTTTAACTTTTTGAGGACTCTTGCCATTCCATACAATGTTGAGAACTGGTTTTTCTATTTCTGTAAAGAAGGCTGTTGGAATTTTGATGACGATTGCATTGAATCTAGCGATTACTTTAGATAATATTGACATCTTAATAACATTAAGTCTTGCAATCCATGAACATGGAACATCTTGCTATTTAATTAAGTCTTCTTTAATCTCTTTAGGAATGTTTTATAGTTTTCATTGTACGAGGTCTTCACATCCCTCGTTAGGTTTATCCTCTAGTTATTTTATTCTTTTAGATGCTATTGTAAATGGAATTATTTCTTTAAATTTCCTCTCAGATTTCTCACTGCTGCTGTATAGAAACCCTACTGATTTCTGTTGGTTGACCTGGTACCCTGCAGTTTGCTGAATTCCTCTGTTAGCTGTAGTTTCTTGTGTACAGTTAAGGATTTTCTATATATAGGATCATATCATCTACAAATAAAGGTAATTTTACTTCTTTTGTAACCTGAATGCCTTTTATTTCTTGTCATATTACTCTGGCTAGAATTTCTAAAATAATATTGAATACCCATAGTGAGAGTAGGCCCTGAATCATATTGATGAATTTCCATTCTATTCAGTCTTCTTGAAGGTTTTCCTCAAGAACGGGTATTGAGTTTTATTAGTTTCTTTTTCTGCATCTATAGAGATGATCATGTGGTTCTGGTCCCTTCTTCTTTTGATTTGGTATATTACATTGACTGATTTTCTAATGTTGAACCATCCCTGCATTCTTGGAATAAATGCCACTTGGTCATGATATATGACTCTTAATATGCTGCTGGATTCTGTTTGCTAGTATTTTGTTTAGGATTTTTGCACCTGTATTCATAAGAGTCATTGACCTATAGTTTCCTTTTCTTGTGGTGTCTTTGTCTGATTTTGGTATCAGGGTTATATTTGCTTCATAGAATAAATTAGGTACAATGTTTTTATCAATTACTTGAATATGGAAGTCAGTGGCATGCTGATAAGGTTTTTGAACAAAACCACAGAAGCATTTCTGTGTTTGAGGATCAGTAGAGAAAAACTTTGTAGATAGAATGGAGAAGTAAACCATAACAGGTTCTGAATCTTGTAGTAAATGTAAGATAAACGCCAGGGATTTTGGTCTTCAAGACACTCATTCATTCAGTCAACAAACATGTATTAAACAATCTGTGCGACATAGTCAAGATTCTGCCCTCATGGTGGGGAGGATAGATATTAAACACAAATACTCAAAATAACCTAGTTAAAATTGGGATACTTACTGTGAGAGAAAAGAAGAGCATGCTGTGAGAAAGAATGACAAATAGAAGATATTATTTCATTTAAGAGACTAGAAAGTTCTCTGCAAGGAAGAGATGTTTCAGGTAGGCCTGAGAAATAGGTTTGAGCAAGGCAGTAACCGTAGAGAGAGAGCATTCTGAGCAGATGGTACAGGTCTGCAATGGCATTGAGTCATGAGAGAGGGCAGGACACTCAGAAAACCAATACCAAAGGAAGGCCAGGGTGGCTGGAGCTTAACAGGCAGGCACAAATTGCACCAGAGGAGATTTTTAAGTGTAGTGCCTAAAGCATTTGACTGCTAACCAGAAGACTGGTGGTTCAAACCCACTAACCACTCCATGGAAGGAAAGTTGGGCAATTTACTTCCATAGAGATAATACAAACAACACAGTGTACTGCTATGGAGTCGGATCAAACTCATTGCAACCCCTCCTTGGGTTTCTGAGGCAGTATCACTATGGAAGTAGATTGCCCACTCTTCCTTCTGAGGTATGGCTGGTAGGTTTGAACTGCCAGCCTTCTAGTTAGCAGTCAAATGCCTTAGGCACTACACCACCAAAGCTCCCGTAGAGATACTGCCTCAGAAACCTAAGGAGGGGTGATTATGAGGCAAATTTGGCTCAGTGGCAATGAGTTTGGGTTTTGTTTGTTTGTTTGTTTTGAGTAGGTGGTGGCACATTTGTTTTAAGTCATTCTGGCTGCCATGTGAACTGGGACGAAGAGTAACGGAAGGCATACTGTTTGGGAGACTGTTGGTATCACCCATGTTCTATAAGATTGACCAGCACAGGAGTAGTGACAGTGAAATAGTAAAGAATGAACAGATAAAATAAATGTTTTAGAGGTAGCATAGTAGGCCATGGTCTTGGGGTGAGAGAGGGAATGATTTTTCTGTATTCATACCATTTGCAAGTTCATGATTCAAAATTCTGTACCCCACCCTTCTGGTTTCCTTCTGGGACAATAATCACTGTTAGCAATTTCTGGTTAAAATTATTTGTCAAAAGAAATCTTTTCCGTTTTCATTACCCAGGTATAACTGTGACTTCAAGAACATCCTTATGTAATTAGTAAAGTACTTGGTGTTAGGTGGGTATATTTTATTTGTACAATGTAGAGAATAAGTGTGACTACTTTACGGTGGCAGACCAGAGCTGGAAGATGTGACAGGAAAGGATGCACATTTTGCCTCTATTTTCAGGGCCTACTATAGTACCTGGAATGGGGCATCAGTGAATCCTTTTTTTTTGTTCATCCAGTGGCTTTAAATACGCCAAAGTAGATTCTTATACATTCTGTACATCTGGTTTTAAAATATGATAATTGTTCAGTATCTAAGGATATATGTAGGATGAAACCAACGTTTCCTCCCTGTCTGTGTGAAGAAAACTGAAGTACAGTATATGAATATAGTTGAGGGTCATGATATATTTGTTGAATGAGTGAAGAACCATGCTGCCTCAATTTTAGCTTACTTTATTATAGCAAGGATTTGAAGTACCACTAAAAGAGGAGTACTGCATATAATAAAACAAGATGTAAGACCTTACTCTTAGAAACCGTAATGTTAGGCTTGTCTCTTATTGCAGCATGATAAAGGAATTCTGGAAGTCAGTAAACATGATATTTGTCTTTTGGAAATAATAGAGATAAGTCAGTGTGCAAAAATGCATAGTACCAGATGGTTAAATGAAATTTCATCTGGTACAGTATCATCTTAGACAAGGTAGGTGACTTTTGGCTTTTCAGGGTTTCTTTTTTTATCTTTTAACATTAATTAAAGTCCTAAAGTGGAAGCAGCCAAAATTTTCTTAGGCTAACTTAAACATAAGTGGGTAAAAAGTAGCATGTACATTAGTAGTTAGCTGGCTTGGAAAAATATTGAAAAAAAATCTGATTTAAGTTTCCTTACTCTTAAATTCTGTTTGTTCTTTTCCTCTTTAAATGTTCTTAACAGGAATGAAGCAAAATCAGATGGACGCAGCGATTTGATACCAACCATCAAATTTCGACACAGTTGTTTGTTACGAAATCGACGCTGCACTGTAGCATACCTGTAAGCTGCTCCATTTTTGCTTGCAGTGCCCAGGAATAAAGGAGAGATTTCCATGTGGCTTCCCACTTGAGTTTCAAGTTGAAAGTAACAGACCTTACATTTGTCTTTTCCTTTATAAGTATTCTAAATCCTTTTATCCTGTTTTCAAACTTTTATGGTGTACAATTGGAACATTCACAAAAGCACAGAGAATAATATAATGAACGCGTTGGAACCATTGTGTAGATTTAACAAGTAGTAATAGTTTGCATATTTCCTTTGTGATTTATTTATTTATGCTAGACTATTTTGAAATAAATACTAAGCATTGTATATCTCACCTCTAAATACTTTGCTCTGTCCTGGTCCCCCTGGCTTTTTACTCACAGCTCAAGAGGCTGGAAGTCACAATTCAGGGCACTAGTTCTCAGGAAAAGCAAGAGTCAGCCACAGGGATCCAGGTGAGGAGAGGGAACCCAGGCCACGCCCCACAAGTGGCAAGGCCGGAAAGCAGGGAAAGGACAGAAAAGGCGAGGGGGACTGGAACAGAGTGAGGAGACAGCAGCAGGGATCCAGGTTAGGGGAGGCTGGAGAGGTTTCCGACACGTAAAGGAGACAAACTTGTCTGTTGGTTTGTCCTACTGTGGTGACATGTTGCTGTGAGTCTTGAAGCTGTGCCACTGGTGTTTCAAACCCAGCAGGGTGCACATGGTGCACAGGTATCAGCCTGGCTTGCAGACTGAGACAGACTAGGAAGAAGAAAGAGGCCATCCACTTCTCAAAGAATTGGCCAAGGAAAACCTTACGAATAGCAGAGAAACACTGTCTGATATATTACCTCGCAACTTTATGAATAATCCAGAAACGTTGTCCAGTGCAGAGGAGGATGATGAGTCACCTAGGTTAGAAGGCTCTCAAAGTAGAGCTGGGAAAGAGTTGCATCATCAGAGTAAAACCAACCTTACTCATATGGATAAGGTAAAGCTTTCAAGTCCTGCATTTGCTGACGTGGCACCACTCAAATTGAGGAGAAACAGCTGGAAACATCCATTAATAATTGAAACAAGGAGTGTATGAAGTAGGAATATAGGAAAATTGTAAGTTGTCAAAAATGAAATGGGACACATAAAGATTGATATCCTAGGCGTTAATGAGCTGAAATGGACTGGTTTTGGCCATTTTGAATCAGACAACCATATGATCTACTATGCCAGGAATGACAGTTTGAAGAGGAATGGTGTAGCATTCATCATTACAAAGGATGTTTCAAGATCTGTCCTGAAGTACAGTGCTGTCAGTGATAGGATAATATCCATACGCTTACAAGGAAGATCCATTAATACAACTATTATTCAGATTTATGCACCAACCAACAAAGCCAAAGATGAAGAAATTGAAGATTTTTATCAACTTTTGCAGTCTGAAATTGACCGAACATGCAATCAGGATGTGTTAATTATCACTGGTGACTGGAATGCAGAAGTTGGAAACAAAGAAGAATGACTGATACTTGGAAAATTTGGCCTCAGTGACAGAAATAATTCTGGAACTCACATGGTCGAATTTTGCAAGACCAACTACTTAGTCATTGCGAACACCTTTTTTCAACAACATGAATGGCAGCTGTACACGTGGACTTTGCCAGATGGAACACACAGGAATCAGATTCACTACATCTGTGGCAAGAGGTGATGGAAAAGCTCTGTATCTTCAGCCAAAACCAGGCCAGGAGCTGATTGTGGAACAGGCCATCAACTGCTCATATGCAAGTTCAACTTGAAGTTAAAGACAATTAAAGCAAGTACACGAGAGCCAAAATATGATCTAGAATATATCCCTCCTGAATTTAGAGACCATCTAAAGAATAGATTTGATGGATTAAACACCAAGGAACGAAAACCAGAAGAATTGTGGGATGACATCAAGAGTATCGTCCATGAAGAAAGCAAGAAGTCACTAAAAAGAGGAGAAAAGAGAAGACCAAAATGGATGACAGAAGAGACTCTGCAGTCTCTCCCTTGAGCAGAGAGTATCTAAAGCAAATGGAAAATGGCAAGATAAAAGAGCTGACAGTGCCAATGACCATAATGAAATGTGCAAAGACCTGGAATTAGAAACCCAAAAGGGAAGAACACACTCAGCATTTCTCAAGCTGAAAGAATTGAAAAAAGTTTAAGCCTCGAGGTGCAATATTGAAAGATTCTATGGTCAAAATATTGAATGATGCAGGAAACATCAAAAGAAGATGGAAGGAATACACAGAGTCACTGTAGCAAAAAAGAACTGGTCGATCTTCATTTCAGAAGGGGGCATATGATCTAGAACCAATGGTATTGAAGGAGGAATTCAAAGCTGCAGTGAAGGAATTGGCTCCAGGAATTGATGTGATACCCATTGAGATGTTTCAACAAACAGGTGCCCCACTGGAGGCACTCACTCAGTTATGTTAAGAGATTTGGAAGACAGCTACCTGGACAACTGACTGGAAGAGATGCATATTTTTACCCATCCCAAAGAAAGGAGATCCCACAGAATGTAGAAATTTTCAAACAATATCATTAATATCGCACACAAGTAAGATCTTACTGAAGATAATTCAAAGGCAGTTGCAGCAGTATACTGACAGAACTTCCAGAGGTGCCAGCTGGATTCAAAAGAGGACATGGAACAAGGGATATCATAACTGCTGTCAGATGGATCTTGGTTCAAGGCAAAGAATGCCAGAAAGATGTTTACTTGTGTTTTATTGACTATGCGAAGGCATTTGATTGTGTGGATCATGACAAATTTTGGATAACATTGAGAAGAATGAGAATTTCCGAACACTTGATTGTACTCATTAGAAACCTGTACTTTGACCAGGAGGCTATCGTTAGAACAGAACAAAAAGACACTACATGATTTAAAAATCAAGAAGGGAGTGCGTCAGGATTGTATCCTTTCCCCATACTGATTCAGTCTATACGCTGAGCAAATAATCTGAGAAACTGGACTAAATGAAGAAAAACATGGCATCAGGATTGGAGGAAGAATCATTAACAACATGAGATATGCTGACAATACAACTTCGCTTGCTGAAAGTGAGGATGATTTGAGGCACTTAGTGATGAAGATTGAGGAAGACAGTCTGCAGAATGGATTACATCTCAATATAAAGAAAACAAAAATCCTCAAAAAAACTGGAAAACAAAACTTGACTAATAAGCAGCATCATGATAAATGGAGAAAAGATTGAGGTTGTCAAAGAATTCACATTGCTTGGTTCTACAATCGATGCCAGTGGAAACAGCAGTCAGGACATTAGACAACATGTAGCACTGGGCAGGTCAGCTGCGAAGGAACTCTGAAGTGCTGAGCAAGGATGTCTCCTTGAGGACTATGGTTTCCCTGACACAAACCATATTTCCAATCACCTGGTATGCATGTGAGAGCTGGACAATGAATAAGGAAGACCAAAGAAGAGTTGATGCTTTTGAGTTGTGGTGTTGGCGACAAATGCTGAAAGTCCCATGGACTGCTAAAAGAACTAACAGATCTGTCCTGGAGGAAGTGCAGCTGAAATGCTCCTTAGAAGCGAGAATGGCCAGACTTCATCTCACCTACTTTGGTCATGTTGTCATAAGGGACCATTCCCTAGAGAAGGATGTCATGCTTGGTAAAGAGGGTCAACAAAAGAGGAGAAGGCCTTTAACAAGATGGATTGACGTGGTGGCAACAGTGGGCTCAAGTATAGCAAGAATCATGGAGCTGGTGCAAGATCGGGCAGTATTTTGTTCTGGTGTACGTACATGGGGTCGCTATGAGTTGGAAACAACAGCACCTGAGAACAACAACAAATACTTTAGTATTCATCTCTAATAAATAAAGACCTTTCTGAGATTTTCTCGCATAACTACTGGGCCATCGTTACACTTAACACAGTGAGCAGTGCCTTGGTGGCATCAATCTAGGCCATGTTCCTTTTACTGGTTGCTCCAAAGATGTCTTGTTACAGTTGATTTGTCTACATGAGAATCCAAATGAAGTCCACACATGGCATTTTGATTGGTATAAGACTTGAGTCTTTGTGATAAAACAACTTCTAATCCCCCTTGTTATTCTTATGTTGTCTGCTATCCTCTTAATGCCCTAGGTATGACCGGTTACTTCGGATCAGAGCATTTAGATGGGAATATGGCAGTGTCTTGCCAAATGTTTTACGATTTCACATGTCTGCTGAAGAAGTAAGTTCACACTGTTGTTCAGGTTCACGAGTGCAGAAAAATGCTGAGGTTCTGACATTGTATTTGTTGATACTTCTCTTCTTGACTCATAGCAACCTTATAGAACAGACTAGAACTGCCCCATAGGGTATAGATCTTTATGGAAGCACACTGCCACATCTTTCTCCTGTGGAGGAACCTAGTGGGTTCCAACTGTCAAATACTTGACCACTGTGCCACTAGGTTTCCTTCCGGGAAGCGAATAGTGGGAAGAATTCTAGTGCTATCTGGAAAACTATTATTACCAAATAAAGGATCTGATTTACTTTTTAGTGATTGATCAGTAGGATTTAAAAACTGGCATCATTATTTAGATATATTCCATAAAATGTATATGTACTTTCCTAATGAGCAGGAATACTATAATGAAACTCTTGATCTGTCTGACCCCTACAGGATAGGGTTCAAATACTGACTACTGCTGTCTGGGGCAAGTAACCTGGTCTCTCTCTGCCTTAGTCCCCTCATTTACAAATGAGGTCCTAGTGCCTCCTATTAAGGGGTGGTTACAGGGGTCAAAGAAGCCAAACCAGACTCACTGCCATTGAGTTGATTCCGACTCATAGTGACCTCCTTTGGGTTTCTGACGTGGTAAATCTTTACAAAAGTAGATTGCCCAGTCATCCTTCCATGGAGTGGCTGGTGGATTTGAACTGCCAACCTTCCGGTTAGCAGTCAAATGCTCTAAGCACTATGCCACCAGAGCTCCTTTACAGCATAAGGTAAGAAATGATAAATGTTAGCAGTTATTATATGAATGTAGAATAGCACATTGCTTAGGAAAGCAAGGGCTCAGTGTGTTTGCCATGAGCTTCTGTATGTTTTTGTTGTTGTTATTCCCCAACCCCACCCTTTTTTTAAAATTGTGGTTTGGGTGAAAGTTTATAGAGCAAATTTATTTTCCATTCAACAGTTCATAGACATTTCATGACATTGAATTTTTTTTTAATTGTGATTTGGGTGAAAATTTACAGAGCAAATTCACTTTCCATACAGCATTTCACATATACTTTGTCATGACATTGATTATAATCCCCATAATGTAACAGCTCTTTTCCCATTTCCTCCCCGTGGTTACCTTTTTCCCTGTGTCTTTTCCTATTGTGCATTTCTTTGAATGGCAGTGCATTTGCTAATAAATGAAGCTTCATTGTTTTGCTTTCATTCTGTCCATGTTCCAGGGAAACTAATGACTAATCTCCTCCACCTCAAGGAGCTCTGGTAGCATAGTGCCAAAGGCATTTGACTGCTAACTAGAAGGCTGGCGGTTCAAACCCACCAGCCACTCCTCGGAAGGAAAATTGGGCAATCTACTTCCATAGTGATACTGCCTCGGCAACCCAAGGAAGGGTTGCTATGAGTCAGATCTGACTCGACAGCACATAACAACAATCTCCACTTCAGACATTGATGGTGACTATAAAGCTCTGGTCATGTAGTGCCTAAGGTATTTGACTGCTAACCATAAAGCTGGCAGTTCAAACCCACCAGCCATTTCTCGGAAGGAAGGTTGGACAATCTACTTCCATAGTGATACTGCCTCAGAAACCCAAGGAGGGGTCGCTATGAGTCGGATCAGACTTGACAGCAATGGGTTTGGTTTTTGGTTGGATAAAATGATTATGTCTTGTTGTGTGCCATTGAGTCTGACCGGACTCATAGCGACCCCCCCTTTGGATTCCAAGGCAGTATTACTACGGAAGTAGATTGCCCAACCTTCCTTCCGAGGAGTAGCTGGTGGATTTGAACCGCCAGCCTTCTGGTTAGCAGTCAAATGCCTTAGACAGTTGGCTACAAGAGCTCCCAGATTATATGTTTGTTGTTGTTGTTATGTGCTGTCAAGCCCTGACTCATAGCGACCCCTCCTTGGGTTTCCAAGGCATATATCTTAGTACTTCAGTTTTCAGTTTCTTCTTTCTGGGGTCTGTTTGCCTGGATCTACTTATATTAATTGAACTTTGGAGTAATTCTTGTTTATTATAATGAAATGAACAGAACACTATGTTATTTCTCTCATGGCAGTAACTATACTGATTATTCTCATACACTATTTTAGATGACTATATGTCTTGTATGGTAGCTCTGGTGGCATAGTGCCTAAGGTACTTGACTGCTAACCAGAAGGCTGGCAGTTCAAACCCACCAAATCACAACTCAGAAGGAAGCGTGGGCAATCTACTATAGAGATACTGCCTCAGAAACCCAAAGAGGGCTCGCTATGAGTCAGATTTGACTCAATGGCAGTGATTTTGGTTATTTTTGGTATATGTCTTGTAGAATTTTATATTAAAATTTTAAATGGCACTCTATTTGCTATCAAGCAAAGTTTCATTTTGTTTTCATTCTGCCCATCTAGATAAATAATCAGTACACTAGGATTTTTTCTTAAATAAAGAAATGTTTAAGTTAGCCATACAAACACTTGTTTAGTTTATTGCACAATTCATGGCAAGTCACCTAAGGTTCAAGGCATTCATTGTAGAACGAGAGAATGAGAATTAACAACTACAATGTTAATTCAATGATTAGAGACACAGTGTTTAGGCTTTTTTTGTTGTTGTTGTTATGTGCCGTCGAGTTGGACCTGACTCATAGTGACCCCTCCTCGGGTTTATGAGGCAATATCACTATGGAAGTAGATTGCCCCATCTTCCTTCCGAGGAGTGGCTGGTGGCTTTGAACCACCAGCTTTCTGGTTAACAATCAAGTGACTTAGGCACTATGCTACCAGAGCTGCCACAGTGAACATGGATGTGCATATATCTGTTCTTGTCCTGGCACTCACTTCTTTAGGATATATACCTAGCAATGGATTGGCTGGGTCAAATAGTATTTCTTATTCCAACTCTTTAAGGAATTGCCATACTGCTTTCCAGCAATGGTTGTATCATTTTACAGTCCCGCCAGCAGTGTATGAGTGTCCCAATCTCTCCACATCCTGGCCAGCATTTGTTATTTTCTGTCTTGTTGAACTTTGCCATTAGTGCTGGGGTGAGATGGTACCTCATTGTTTTGATTTGCATCTCTCTGATGACTAATGATCATGACCATTTCTTTATGTATTTTCTGGCTGCCTGAATATCCTCTTTGGTGAAGTGTCTTTTCATGTCTTCTGCCTGTTTTTTAATTGGATCATTAATCATTTTGTTGTTGAAGTGTTGGAGTTTTCTATAAATAAGTCCCTTGTCAGATATGTCATTGCCAAATATTTTTTCCCAATCTGTAGGTTCTCTTTTGACTCTTTTGGAGAACTCTTTGGAAGCACCAGAAGTTTAATTTGGAGAAGGCCCCATTCATCTAGTTTCTGTTCTGATGTTTATGCATTTTGGGTTATGCTTGACAGCATATTTATGCCACAAATGAGGACCTCTCAATTTGCCCCCATTTTTTGCTTGAGGAACTTTATAGTTTTAGGTTTCACGTTTTAAGTCTTTGTTCCATCTGGAGTTAGTTTCTGTGTATAGTGTGAGGTACAGATCTTGTTTCATTTTTTTGAAAATGGATATCTAGTTTTGCTAGCACAATTTGTTAAAGAAACCATCTCTTGTGCATTTAATGAATTTCAGCCCTTTGTCAAAATCATCTGGCCATAGGTCGATGAATCTATTTCTGCGTTCTCAGTTCTCTTCCACTGGTCTGTGTGTCTGTTGTTATACTAGTAGCAGGCTGTTTTGACTATTGTGGCTGTAGTTTTTGAGATCCAGGAGTGTGAGACCTCCTACTTTGTTCTTCTTCGTCAATAATACTTTGCTTTTCTGAGGGCTCTTTCCTTTCCATATAACGTTAGTGATTGGGTTTTCTATATCCTTAAAGAATGTTGATAGGATTTGGACTGGGATTGCATTGACTGTATAGATTGCTTTGGGTAGTATTGACATTTTCAAAGTGTTTAATCTTCCTATCCATGAGCATGGTATGTTCTTCCATTTATGTAGATCTCTTGGTTTCTTAGAGTAGTGATTTGTAGTTTTCTTTTTACAGGTCTTTTCTCTTCCTAGTGAAACTTATTCCTAAGTATTTTATTATTTTGTTTGTTTGTTTGTCAGTATTGTAAATGGTATTGATTTATTTTTCAGCAATCTCTTTGCTGGTGGAGAGGAATCAAACTGATTTTTGTAAGTTGGTCCTTTATCCTGCCGCTATGCTAAATCTCTCAATTAATTCCAGTAGGGTATTTTTTTTTTGTTGTTGTTGTTACACCCCGCTTTTTTGCTGAGTTTCTTGGATTTTCTATGTATACAATCATACCATCAGCAAATAGGGATAGTTTTATGTCTTCCTTACTAATTTGGATGCCTTTGATTTCACTTTCTTGCCTTATTGCCCTGGCTAGGACATTCAATACAATGTTGAATAGAAGTGGTGATAGACACCATCATTGTTTGATGCCAGTTCATAAGGGGAATGGTTTCAGTCTCTCTCCATTGAGAATAATAATGTTAGTTTTACATATATGCCTTTTATTATGTTGAGGAAAGTCCCTTCTATTCTGATTTTGCTGAGAGTTTTTATCAGGAATGGGTGTTGGATTTTGTCAAATGCCTTTTCTGCATCAATTTATATAATTATATGGTTCTTTTTCTTTGTTTTATTTCTGTGATGAATGACATTGATTGTTTTTCTACTGTTGAACTGTCTTTGCATACCTGGTATGAGCCATACTTGGTCACAATGCATTATTTTTTGGATATGTTGTTGGAGTCTGTTGGCTAGGATTTTGTTGAAAATTTTTGCATCTATATTCATGAGTGATACTGGTCTGTAGTTTTCCTTTTGAGTGATATCTTTACCTGATTTTGGTGTCAAGATTATGCTTGCTTCCTTAAATGAATTTGGGAAGATTCCATCCTTTTCTGTTGTAGAATAGTTTGAGTAGGATTGGTGTCAGTTCTTCTCTGAATGTTTGGTAGAATTCTCCAGTGAAACCATCTGGGCTAGGACTTTTTTTTTTGGTATATTTT